CGTGCTTATGGATAGTGGAAGTTGAACTAATGTGGCTAGTGTGTCTCTTGTTGAGCAGTTGGGTATTAGGACCTTGAAACATCCTCGTCCTTACAAGCTTCAATGGTTGAATGATAGTGGGGAGTTGAATTTGAATAAGCAGGTTCTTCTATTCTTCAAAATTAGGATGTATATGGATAAAATTTTATGTGATGTTATACCTATGCAGGCTTGCCATCTATTGCTTGGGAGACCATGTCAATATGATAGGAATGCGCTACATGAATGGAGGAGTAATATCTATACTCTTGAACTGAAGGGTAAAAAGTATCTCTTAAGCCCTTGACTCTACTTCAAGTGTATGAAGATCATAAAAGTGTTAAATAATTGGGTGGAGAGAAGGTGAGAGTAGAAAAGAGAGAGAATGAGTGTAAAGGTAAATTTTCACTTGTTAAGGTTGAGGAAAGTGAGGAAGCGAAAAAATTAGAGGGTAGCCGAAAGAGGAAGAATGAAAAGAAATCGAGTAATGGTGAGAGGAAAGAGGCGAACGGAAGAGAGTTGAACCTTTTTGTAAAAACCAAGGAGTGTGAAAAGAACCTCAGTGAAGAAATACCAATTTTACTATGTGTGTATAAAGGAGTTTATTGAACACTAACAAACTCTCTAACTCTTTGTCTAGTGATTTTATCTCTTTATTGCAGGAATACAATGATGTCTTTCCTGAGGAGCTACTTGAAGGATTGCCACCACTTAGAGGGATTGACTTTGTACCAGGATCTCAGATTCTGAATAAACCGGCTTATAAGAGCAACCCAGGGGAGGCTAAGGAGCTTTAAAGGCAAGTAGAGGAGTTTTTAAATAAGGGGTTTGTGAGGGATAGCATGAGTCCTTGTGTTGTACCAGTCATTTTCGGTACCAAAGAAGGATGGCTCTTAGCGTATGTGTGTTGACTGTAGAGCTATCAACAAAATCACAGTAAAGTATCGATATCCCATTCCTAGATTGAATGATATATTGGATGAGTTGCATGGTGCAAATGTGTTTTCAAAACTTGATTTGCGAAGTGGATATCATCAGATTAGTATGAATCTTGGTAATGAATGGAAAACAATCTTTAAAACCAAAAATAGTTTGTATGAATGGTTAGTTAAGCCTTTAGGGGTTAACTAATGCATCTAATACATTTATGCGCTTGATGGATCATGTTTTAAAGCCATTTAGAGGTAAATTTATCGTTGTCTATTTTGATGATATACTTATTTATAGTTATTTTTTGGATGATCACCGTTTGCATGTTAAAAGTGTGCTTGATGTACTTAGGAAAGAAAAACTCTTCAAATCCTAAGAAATGTGATTTTTGTGTGGATAGGGTTATTTTCTTGGGTTTTGTTGTGAGTGAAAAGGGCATAGAGGTTGATGAAGCGAAAGTGAAAGCCATTAGAGAGTGGCATATTCCGAAGAGTATGTCAGAGGTAAGAGTTTTCATGGTCTCTCTAGTTTCTATAGGAGGTTTGTTAAGGGTATTAGTACCGTAGCTGCTCCTTTGGTTGCAGTAATTAGGAAGGATAAGGGATTTAAATGGGATAAGGATCAAGATGAGGCTTTTGAAATATTGAAGAAGATGCTTAGTTCAACCCCTTTATTACAACTACCTCATTTTAGTAAGACTTTTGAGGTTGAGTGTGATGCTTCTAGGGTAGGTATAGGTGCAGTTCTTATGCAAGACCAAAAACCTGTAGCTTCATTTAGTGAGAAATTGAGTGGAGCAACCTTAAATTACTCTACTTATGATAAAGAGTTGTATGCCCTTGTGAGAGCTTACGCCAGTTGCCATCATTAATTGTGGCCTAAGGAATTTGTGATTAGGACTGACCATAAGAGTCTCAGATTTCTAAAGAGTCGGTCTAAGTTAAACATAAGACATGCTAAGTGGGTAGAGTTTATAGAGACCTTTCTATATGTTATCCATTATAATCAAGGCAAAGTAATGTTGCGGCCGATGCACTTTCTAGACGATATGTTCTGATAAATGTATTAACTGCTAATTTGTGGGATGCGAGCATATTAAAGATTTTTATAATAGTGACCCAAATTTTAGTAGTAAGTACAAGGAGTGTGAGTTGGGTGTGTTTGAGGGATTCATTAGGGATGATGGTTATTTGTTTAGGAATAGAAAATTTCGTGTCCCTGGATGTTCTTTGAGGGAATTGTTTGTAAGAGAGGCACATAGTGGTGGATTGATGGGGAATTTTGGAGTTTCTAAAACACTAGAGAGCCTAAAAGAAAAATTTTATTGGCCCTGCATGAGGAGAGATATAGGTAGAATTTGTGGTAGATGTATCGTGTGTCTTCAGGCTAAGTCTAAGGTTAAGCCACATGATTTATATACTCCATTGCCTGTTCCTGAGGGTCCTTGGTTAGATATTTCTATGGATTTTATTTTGGGCTTACCAAGGACTAGGAAGGGACATGATTGCATATTTGTTGTGGTTGACCATATTTCTAAGATGGCACATTTTATTCCTTGTCACAAGAAAGATGATGCGTCTTACGTAGCTACATTATTTGAGAGATAGGTTTTGAGGTTACATGGGGTGCCTAGGTCCATTGTTAGTGATAGGGATACTAAGTTTGTTAGCCAATTTTGGAGAACCTTGTGGTCTAAGTTGGGAACTAAGCTATTGTATTGTACTACTTGTCATTCCCAAACTGATGGTCAGACTGAGGCAGTCAATAGGATTTTGGGTAATATGTTGCGAGCTACACTTAGGGGTACAAGTACATTTCTTGGGATGACAATTTACCATTGATTGAGTTTGCTTATAATAGATCTATTTAAGTTTGAAGCATTGAAGAGGGTTCGTGAGCAAGTGCTGTTGCAATTGGAGAAGACATATGAAAAGGTTGCCAATTGAACTAATAAAGGAAGAAAACAGGTTATTTTCAAACCTGGTGATTGGGTTTGGATTCACTTGAGGAAGGAACGATTTCCTGATAAACGCAAGTCGAAGTTGCATCCTCGTAGAGATGGTCCATACCAAGTTCTTGAGAAGATTGGCGACAATGCGTACACGTTGGATCTCCCAGGCGAGTTTAAGGTGTGTGCAACATTTAATATTTCTGATTTATCTCCTTTTGGTGCAGATATGTTGGATTTATCGACGAATCCTTTTCAAGAGGGAGGGATTGATACGACCCTAGATAGCCCGGGTAGAGCGGAGAATATTGAAGATGACCCCGAAGTATCTAGTGGACTGTTGACTCGCTCCAAGTCCAAGAACGCCCCAGGGATGCACGCTGAGGAGTTGCATGATCTTTAACAATTGACTAGAAGATATTTGGAGAGTCACTTAGAGGATTCATGCAAAGAATACCATATTTTGAGTTTTGAGAATTGAAGAATTAAGACCCCAAGTCAAATCGTGTGACATAGTTTCACCAATCGTTGACTACGGTTCAAGAGGGGCCTGAAGAGCTGAAGAAAATAAGCTTTTGGAATTCAACACGGTTCAGCTGTGTGTTACGGTTTGGGTTACGATTGGCATAGCGAGTTTTTTTGGAAAATTAACTTTGAAACTTTTTCTATTTTACCCATTGGGTATTTATAATAGCCTAGGGTTATTTCATTAGCCACTTAACATATTTTGACATAAGAAAACTCTTAGAGAGATTTGGAACCTCTTGGTTTGAGTTCGACTTTGGATTACATGTTTTCAAGAATTGGTTTCTTGAGGGTAATCTTCTTCTCCTTTCTTTATATCTAGGGTTTCTAATTTGCCATTCTTGGGAGGCGACGAATAGTTTTTCGATTGTTGCTTGAGACATTCACTTAGGGTTCTAGATTTTCCTTCTGTATTTTATTATTCAGACTATTTTTGATTATTTTAATTAAACCTATCATTAGTTTTGCTTTAATTTTTATTATTTTCATATTTCGTTATTTTATTTATCTCGAATTGTATCATAGGTCATCTGCTAAGAAGAGATGTGCTATAAGAACCTTAGGGAGAGATTTTAATAGGACGTTGTTTACTTAGATCCACTTGGTGAAAAATATTTCTAGACAGTATTTTCATGCAAATGGATAAAAAATGTAAGCAGACATAGAAATCACTTTAGCTCGTCTTATGCCTCTAGTTGGTTCAAAATACTAAGTATGTCCTACATTAACTAAAGGGAAAATACATAAAATCCCCCGTGAAATAGGTCCTTTTTGCCCATTAGGACCTTTAGTTATGCGGGAATCTTAATATCTCTCTCAACTCGTTTAAAACGCACCATAGCCTCACTTAATTAATCAAATTGAAAATTATATGGTTTGACCTTGTACTCTGAACTCTTCACATAAATTGGGACAGAGGGAATAATAGTTTTTCTTTTATTTCAAAGCAAAGTACTCTTTACTAACACAATGATCAATATTATAATGGATTTTTTGTTCTTTTCTTTTCGTCTATTTTTGTTTAATCATTATTTATTTTAAAAATTGTCTATTTGAATTTCGCAAAAAAAAAAAAAACCAAATATATGAGTCGTGTTGCAATAAGTTGATATGAACTACAAAAAAAATGTATTCCCTGTATTTTTACTTGTCCAATATACTAAAAGACAAATTATTTTTTACTTTTCAACATTAGCAAATCAAGAAAGAACATTAAGTAACTATTTCCAAACTAATTGGAGTACTATTAGTCTAATTTAAAATTTTCAAAATACTACTAATAAGGATAATTTAGTAAAACATATATTTAACTAATTCTTTCTTAAAAAGGGTGCAAAATAAAATTAGACAAACAAAATTGAGTGTGGGGGGAGTAAATTGTAATGAGTCAATTAATTAGTTCGGGTTGTGAATTGGAAGTACAGTTGAGCTGATTTTTAGCACTGGTGAACTGATGGTTCCATTGGCTTAGGGTATCTGGATCCGAATCGATATAACCCGACCCAGAATGCAATTCAAGATTTTCTCAACTGACTGTTGGAAAAAAATCACTTATAAATCCTCCAATCCAATTCCCATTTTTCTTCTTTTCCCCGAAAGCAAAATATCAGTTGGCCATCCTCAAAAATTCAAAATTCTCAATTCACAGGATGGCCATCACCCATCTTTTATCCACCAATATTACACCCTCCCTCTTTACTTCCCAACCATTTCTTGTACTGAAACCCAAAAGAACACTAGTCATATACCCAAAAAGGCCTACAATTCGAGCTCAATCTAAGAACAATGACTCTGCAGATGGCCCAGATCGTTTAATCTCCGCCATCACTTACTTCTACCCTTTTTTTGACGGTATTCAGTATGGGAAATATGTCATCACACAGTTTGCTCCAATCCAAACCCTTATTCAACCTTTAGTCCCAGCTATAAGGGTTTTCAAGAGCTTCCCACTTAATGGGTTGCTAATTTTCTTTACCCTTTACTTTGTTGTTGTAAGAAATAACAATTTCAGTAGGTATGTGAGGTTCAATACCATGCAGGCTATTGTTCTTGATGTGCTTCTCATATTTCCTGATCTTTTGGAGAGGAGTTTTAATCCAAAAGATGGGTTGGGCTTGGATTTGATGATGAGCTTTGATAGCACTGTGTTTTTGTTCCTTTTGGTGTCTTTAGTTTATGGTTCTTCTTCTTGCTTGTTGGGTCAGCTTCCTAGGTTGCCTATTGTTGCTGAAGCTGCTGATAGGCAAGTGCTATGAACGAACGAGGTTCCTCTTTGTACACTTTATTATTTTTGCTTTAGTTGACAAATAATAGCTACGGTATTTCGTTCGGAAGTAAATGCTTATGCTCCTTTATTTTTTGTCTTTATTGAGATTTCACCATGATAAACTTGTTTATACATATAATTCTGCTGTTTCTAAATGTGCATATGTAAATTCATGTGATGGAATTGGAAACTTTTTTCCTATCTATCTCCCATAACAAACACACACACAGAGGTAATGATATTTTCTTATTTCCATTAAGACCAACTTGCATACCCTTAAGCTATTTCACCGGGTACCTAAATTGTCACACCAATATTGACATTGTGTAACTCTGTCCACTAAGATTTAGGCAGCAAGAAGAAACCACCTAACTTTATTGCATGTGCAAGGACTTGAACTCTGAGCTTCTATGGTTTCATTTGTGCTTCATGGACCTCGATTCCACGCCATTGAGTGCCACGGAGGTTTTGATATCATCAACAAGTAATATCATTTTTTCATACGTAGGTAATTCAATCCCCATTTGTAGGTGACATGTTACTTCATCTATTTGTTTGGGTAAGGTAACATGTTACTTCATCATATAGTTATATTGATGCTTAAGGAATAAATTCATGATCCTCCTAAACCATAAGAGATTTGTTAGTTGTATCATGATTTTTAATTAAGTGTTTTGTCTTGTCTTTGAAAGGGAAAACATGTGGAGCTTTGCAAAAGGTTGACATCAAGTGTTACTTCATCATATAGTTATATTGATGCTTTAGGTTCTTCACCTTCAGCTTCCCTTTTGGTGAAATACATACTACTGTCAAACTGCTCTGGAAGCTATAGATAAAATTCACCTTATACATTAATAATATGGCTTTGTCTGCAGACTATGATGAACTGGTGAACTCAAGATGCCTGATTATTTACCCTAAAATGCTAGTGGTAAAATCGACTTTCAATGTAGCGTTACCAGCCATGCATACTGAACATAATATTGTGGGCATTTAGGAACCAGAAAATCATGGATTTTTGTGTTAAGGACGCAGTCTTATGCCGGTCAAACCCCATTTCCTGTTTATTATCCTTTCTAAGTTATATGGTTATTATTCAGCTCAAGGCTAGCATAAATATCTTTACTTATGTATAGCATTCAACGTTGGAGACTTTTGCTTCCTTCAGCATAATTGGTAGAACATGGAGTCATTACTTTGCTGATTATTCTCATGTTTATGCCAACTATTCATCTTTTGCCCCTGTTCTGGCTTACTGTAGTTTCATTCTTTTGTTCCGTCTAAAGTGAAGTGAGAATCTTTTGTCAATAATTTGTGAGTTTTAATAGAATGCCTGTGCTATGTTCCCTTTTACTTTAAGGGGTCGTTTGGTTACCGGGATTAGAATACTAATCCCGGGATAGAATTTGGGATTACATTTATCCCATGTTCGGTTATGGTTATTAGCTAATACCGGTATAAATTTTATACCAAAATCTTTGTATTAACTATCCCACATTGGAGGTGGGATAACAATCCCAGGATTATAATCTTGGGTTTGTTAATCCCTAGATAACCTATTTTGGAACGAAACGACCCCAACTCTTTTTGTGAGCTTTGTTGATATGAATATGGAGCTGGTGAGAAGACAAAGTTATCCATTTGGTGGAAGCTCTTTGCTTGGTTTTGGTATTGTGTTTCTCATATGTGAGCATCATTCTTCATGTGGTCAACCATTAAGAAGGACATATTTTCCAAGTAGTTACCATAGCCGGTTCTATTCCTCCGTGCATGAGCTTCTTAAGTAATGAAATCATTCTATAAACTGCAATAGGTACTTTCGTCCTATGTTGCTCGGACTCTTCAAAAGTGCTGCCGCACCCGTGTCGGATCCTCCAAAAATGCACTAAATTTGGAGGATCTGACACACACCCAACAACATTTTTGAAGAGTCCGAGTAACATAGCTTTCGTCCTCTTGTCACACAACCAGAATTATGTGTGTTAGCTTCTCAGTTCAACGGATTTCCTCTTTCTTCTTGCATCATTAGATAAAGCAACTTCTCTAGTGGATACATTAGATTGTTGCGGAGCCAAGTTGGTCTGGGTCTGGCCTAACAACAGTGAAATGCCACACCTAAGCCCAACTAGTATGCTCACACCGCATCAGTTTACCAGTGTGGTCATCGTGCCTATGCATCGTCTAGTTTGACTGAACACACCGTAGACCTCAACAAACTCCTAAGAACTAAGGATGCAGTTCTATCCCCTTCTCAGCTGCTCCTCCCTTTTAGTGGGGTTGTTGGACACATCCAACAGCTGTAGAAATAAGGGATCAATATCATCCTCAAGGGGGAACTCGAATCAACTCTTTTAATCCCACTAAAATTGATGCTATCAACCACCATCCCTCCTCCGTTGAAGAAGACTTTACTGCTTTTTAACTATTTTTGTCTATTGTTCTTTTGATTTTGTTCATCCTTAAATCACATTATTTACTCTGCATAGGTGTTAGTGAAAGTTTGTTAGTGAAAAATAAGTAATTCTTATTACACTTGAAATACGCGTCACACAAATTTATTAATGTTCCATTAGTACTATTTCAGTTGCAATGCTGATTGAATTGCTGTTTCGTCTGATATATATGTCAAAAGAACAGACATGTATTTACTCTGCATAGGTGTTAAGAAGATTTTGTCCAAAATNATATATATATTAAGATGTGATCAAATGTGGGATTGATTGGGCGTTACAATCTAATCTTTAATCATCACTTGGTTCGGTGACCCGGTGTTTATAACCTGTCGGTGGACTCGTGGCTGATGCATCACTGTCTTCCCTGCTGATTCACGTGGCACCATATTACTGGGACATGCCAACTACGACTACTTTTTTTCCTCTTATTTCTTGGGTGGGTGGGTTTGCTCTCTCTTGTTTGTATAACGAGAGTATCCGATAAAACAATTTTTATTAAATATTCTCTCCGGTTCATAATAAGTGATTATTTTATCTTTTTATTTTTAATCAAAATGTTAATTTACATAATCAAGAAATAATTAATTTTATTCTTTCAAAAATTTATCCTTATTTATATATTCCAATATATCAAGGTAACAATTAATTAAGGTTAATTTAGTGAATATATTTTTTTTTTAGGAGTTCGTATTTTCTTAATGAGTGTGTCAAAGGTAAAATTATTACTTATTGTGGATCGGATTGAATATTATTTTCCTCTCTATCACATATTCACATATTCAAGTTTCGGTGCTATCTTTGAAGTGATTCCGGTTAATAATCACAGAAAACAACGGGCAGCTTTGTAGAAATCTACAATAGGATATTTCTGTATTTCCTTGTCTTTGTGATGACAGAATATGAGTAATATCCTGTTTGGCCAATTCTTTTTTTTTTTTTTTTTTGGGGTTAAAAGTACTTTTAAAAAAAAAATTGAGGTGTTTGGCCAAGCTTTTAGAAAGCAAAAAAAAGTATTTTTGAGAAGCAGCAGAAAAAGTAGCTTCTCTCCAAAAATATTTTTCTAGCTCAAAAGTGTTTGGTCAAACACTAATTACTGCTCAAAAGTGATTTATAAATTAATTAGTCAAACACAAACTGCTTATCACGAAAAGTACTTTTGAGAAAATTATTTTTCAAAATAAGCTGATTTTAGAAGTTTGGCCAAACAGACTTTAAGAGTCTAAGAGCCCGTTTGGCCAAGCTGCCAATCGGCTTATTTTGAAAAGTACTTTTTTCCAGAAGTACTTTTGAAAAAAAAACAGTTTGTGTTTGGTCAATTCATTTAAGAAGTACTTTTTGCAATATTTGGTAAACAAATTGTGGTTGGCCAATCTTTTTAAAAAATGCTTTTGAGTGTCAAATTACCAAAAAAGATAGTAACAAGGTCTTATAATTCCTTTAAAGTGAAAAATAAACTTAAATATTTATCGTAAGAGACTTTTATTATTATTTTTATTTTATTTAATTAAAATATTAAGCATAAAGTAAACAAACATATTAAAGATTTAAATCAATTTTACATATATAGTTATACCAAAACATATAATATTATCTAGTATAATTACTTATTGTTACGGGATGATTTAAATAATCAAAGTACATTGTTTACGTGATATTGTTTTACAATAAAAAAAGGTTTAAAAATAATTTGACTTACACTTTTAATGTTTTACTCTTAATAGACTGATTGTTTTAGGCCATAAATTCTTAAAACCTTGTTTACCCGAAAAAGCGGATAACAATTGAATATATATGCGGTTATACGGATATATAGTATAAATTGGTACAAATTGAGAAAATACACAAATGGGTATCGAAATTAACTATAAAGGTAATAAATGCAAACCAAACGGATGAATTAGCCTTGGCCCTCGAGTTTGGTCACCCTCGAACCAAGTGAAAACTCTACTGATGTATGAACAAAGTAACAAGATATTGAAAGCTGAAAGAAGGTAGTGTATTGCTTTGTATTGTGTCAAAACTATTTTTACAAATGATCAAACCCCCCATATATAGTAGGGAAGTCCTACTTGTGATATATTACTAAATATAGTAGGGAATCTCGTGATAGATTAATTAATTGGTCTTTCCTTGATATGTGCCAGGATTTTCGCTGTTATTCGGGCCCCATTACGGATATTTCGGCTTTTTATCTTTTGGCTCGTTAAACCTTCCTCGATCTCGCTCGATCTCTATTTTGTCTGGTCTCGATCTAGGCTGATCTTGGTCTCGATTGGTCCCTTCCTAGCTTGGCCTCAATCTTTTTCGGTTTCGATCTAGGCCGATCTCGGTCTCGATCGATCCCTCATTAGCTTGGTCTCGATCTTGGTTGATCTCAATCTTGTTCGGTCTTGGTCGATCTTGATCGGTCTATGGGTCATGAGCTTGGCGATCTAACTTTGCATCATGGTTCGACATTACATGGTTTGACATTACATGATCCCGAACCTCGTTTAATTATTTTCCAATTTCGATCGGTCATACGAAAGTGCAAACTCTATTTTGACAATATACAGATAGTCCCCTCGTTTCTCGGAAGGAAAATGGCGAGAAACGATATGAATTTCCGAAACCCCGACTCGATGGATGATGACGTAAGCGACGAGCCCGATCATGACGCATACGACGAAACGTCTCATCGGTCCAGTTACCAAGGCATGTAATTCCCATCAATTGCTGGTCGGCCACTACTGGTTTCGAACCGTCTCCATCAACCTATAAAAACCCTAGCTTTTCTATTCAATCCTATACACTTCAAACATTTCTTTATTCTTGTTTCTCATTCAAAAGCTCTCTTTGCTCCATAGTTTCTACATCTAAATTTCTCCTAACCAATCCACATATCATCTTAGTTCACGTTTCTTCATTCATCAATGGCAAAAACCTCCAAAATAGTGCCGCAAAAAAAGGACGCTTCTTCATCACAACCCGCCGGTGGTGAGGCTGCGGCGGAGCCCCTCCCTACGGAATTTGTTCCGGTAGGGTGCCCAACAGTCTCTGAGCCAGTCTCGAGGTACATGTGCTCAATCACCGAGAAAATCCTCGAAAAAGTTAAAGAGGAATATAATTGGGACAAAAACATGTGGTGGTCTCGTCTCCCAAGAAAGAGATCACTACACACATGGAGGGGGTTCCTAAGTGTTTACACTTACCCTTTCACGATAAGTCCCTTAGACCCTGTCATTGTTGCCTTCTGCAAGAGATACGATGTGACCCTCGGCTAGATCCACCCTTATTTTTGGAGAATAGTGATTCTCCTTCGATTCTTTTCAAGTAAGATCAAGGGGTGCCTTTTCACCCTCGATCACCTCATGCGTTTTTACAGTCCCCGACTCTATCGAGGGGGCTGATTAAGCTTGCTCGCCGAGACACCAAAGCCCCATTCTCGAGCATAGATGAAACCCTGACCGAGGTTGGATGGGCCGATTTGTCCGAATAAAGACTTTGGACCTGATCCCTGCCGAAGATATGTCATTTCCTGAGAAATGGAACATGCATCGTAAGTATTACCTCGCTTTGGATATTTCTTTTTGATATTTTACTTCTTGCCTTCTTTCTTTAATTATATTTTTGATGTTGCAGTTGTGGCCCAAATGCCGGAACCGATTTCAGGACTCAAGCAATAGGTCTAGGGCCTGGTGTCACAAAAAACATACTCTGAGCCTGCTTGGATAGAACTTCAAAGGGTCGATGGGAGGCCCGCAATCACAGTAAGTTTCTCCCTTAGATCGATTTATC